TTGTGTGTTGCTGGTAAGGTCAAGGACCTAGAGAACGTTTACCCTGAGTGAAAAAACACGAGTTAACTGAAAGTCAAAGGAAATTTGAGTTGGCTGCAACCACTGCTCTTCTACAGGTCTTCCACTGAAATGTCTTGTCAGAATTTCTGAGCCTAAGTATTTCCCCTACTCCTGGAATAGTGACCAAACTAACACAATTGCACTGGGTAATATTTTTTCTGCTTTAATAGTAGATAAATGCTTCTGGGGCCACCAGGGCTCATCTCATCTCCTATAAAGGAAAAATATCTCAAGAACCTCCCAGCCACATGGCAAGAAAAAACACCACCATCTCCTTCGTCACCTTATCCTTTCTCCTGTCCTTGCTCAGATATATTTCCATGGGATATGGCTCAGGATTAACAGAAGTAGAAATCCAGGACTAAAAGTGTGCTCCGGAAGACCTGAATAAATGAGCCTGCAGCACCTTCACACAGCTCCCATCTCTGTCTGCTTGCTCTGAGGAATTTTTTCAGAGACTGGAAAATCCTTAAACTACTGACCTGTGCCTCATACCACGGAGCTGCTTGTTCAGTCAACATCAGCCTGAGGTGAGATTCCCTGTCTCTTCCTCTGTTGAGGCTCTGCAGCTGCTGGAAGACAACTCTGACAGGGTCTGTCATATGGAAGCAGTGCAATCTGTAGGAGAACTAGAATGGGTAAAATATCCAAATGAGAGAAAGTAAGTTCTGAGCACAGTGAAAGATAATGGGTATTGTGATTGCTCTTCTTTTACGGTTTTTATGGGGACTACACAGCATGAAAGCAAGTACACTTCCAGATAAAGTCCATTCTAACCTCACGATAAGCAGCTCCACTGCATTTTCCCAAAACAACAATTCTGGTGACAGCACTCTTGTGCTCCTGGTGGTTTTTAATTACAGTAGTCTGAAAACTTGCCTACTCGGGGTCTAAGTGTAGTCTTCTAATAGATATCACAGATCAGGCTCTGCCATTTCATTTCCCTGTTCAGTCCAAATCCTCAGTGCAGTAACAGTCCCTTCTGCTCCTGATATTTAACACGTTCAGCTCTTTTGCCCATTTCCCTTCTGCTTCTTTCCTTCTAGAAGACGTTCCCCTTCTCTTCCCCCAATTTTCTCCTACAAGCAGTAGAAAGGAAACTATCAGACTTTATTAGGAAACTCATTTTTCTCCAAACTCCCTTCCCAGTTCTGAACATGCAAGAACCAGAGAGCACTGAAAGTGCCGC